GTTGAGTTAGAATTGGGACTTAGAAAGTTAGAATGTGTCTTAAAGTAACTTAATCTGGATTCTATGGCCATTATATCTTAAAGTGACAGTTTTGATGCTTTAGTATGAAAGTTTAAAACTAAAACTTTGTGATATAAATATTGCCATAGATTGTCATAGATAAAAGGTCCTCTATGACTCCTGACAGGTTGGTAAACCTGGGATGGATGGCAATGCATCCCAAGAGGCTTGCCTCAATTTCAGACATTAGTGTTTTTAATTCATTGATTTCAAGTGGCCCAAGAAAACAAGTTTATCGTAGACTAGGAGAAGGGAGGATTTTTTTTATTTACTTTCAGCCTTCTTATGGTATACTTTTATTTTTAACTCTAAATTTAACATAGAAACTACTTGCAGTCTCATGCAAGAAAAATTAGCATGATTTAAGAAGCACTATTTACTAAAAGAGAAAGAATTATAGCAGAAAAATAAAAATAATTCTCCCTTACTTAGACTAACATTATTGATATGTTATGTTAAATTGTTATATTGTTTTGGTTTCGCTTAGATACCATTTTTTGTAATTAAAAAGCGATTCTGCACTGGATTTTTTTTTACAATGTATTCTTGACATTTTTTACATGCTCATCATAACTGTTCTTGAATATGTTTAAAGATTTAGACTCCTTTATATAGCCCGGCAAACTGTTCCATGGGTTTATCACTCTCACAGAAAAAGAGTTTATGTAAAATGTAAATATACAGTGTACCATTATAAAGTTTAGCAATCTATAATATTTTTTTAGATAAATAAATGGATTATAAAAGCATTTTCCTAACCTGTAATAAAAGGTAAAAGAAACTGTAATTTTAGTAGGGTTAGGAGGGTAAACAGAATTTTTTAGCTTTTAATTTGTTTGATAACATTACAGGTAGGTCTTCGAAAAGTCGGAAAAGGGACTGAGCATATTTCCAAACATGCCTTTGTTTTTATCAGTAAGGGGCCCACCCTCATAGCCTGAAAAAGTGCTAATAGTCCGATATAATCCTTATTATTTCTTGATATGTTTACATGTAAAATAATACAGTTTCTTAGATCGTCATAACGATCTAATTAAAACGGTAAGGTAACCCCCCAACACGAAAACGAACCAAAAAAGACGGAAACCTCCCCAAAATGGAATTTTTTTTCAAAAATAATCGGAAACCCCTCAAAACTTATTTTTTGAGGCATTTCCCACTTTTTTCCATCGGTTTCTCCGATTTTTAGGTCCGATTCCGGTTTATACAGGTCAAATATTTTGGAGGGATTTCCCAATATTTTTGATCCGCTTCCGCATATTATTTTTTGTCCGTTTCCGGTTTTAAAAAAAGTAAAAAAAATTCAATTTGTTGATCGGTTTACTTTATTTTTCGATCCGTTTCCGTAAATTTTTGGTCCGTTTTCGGTTTTCAAAAAAAATAATAAATATTTAGTTTGTTTTCTGTTTGTTTGATCCGTTACCGTAAATTTTTGGTGCGTTTCCGGTTACAATAGGCCGTACATACAAATATCTGCAGTACAATAGGACGTACATGTTCTTGGCATTGTCCATACATGTAAATATTTTAGTGCAATAGGTCATAAATGATCTTTTCTACAAATTTTAAAGCCGAATGTGAATGTTAATTTCTCTTTATCGTACATGGTGTCCCACGAAACATGACGGTAGCAAGACAAATTGAAAGTTGTATTTGAACTTTTAATCTTTTGATGACATTCAGTTGTCTACCTATTTTCACAGGTATGATTCTTGAAACATAAACCACAATAGTGGTTCACCTTTTTGGTACTGTCAATATTACCTGGGATATTGAGAATTTCGTTTAGATTTCAATGTTATTGAATAAAACCAAAATTGTCCAAATCTGAACGAAATTCTTTGGACAGGGATTTAGGAACAATAAAAAGATTGTTCAGGAATTAGGAACAAAAATAATGGATTAGGAAAGGGATTTAGGAACAAAAAAAATTGTTCAGGAATTAGGAACAAAAATATTGGATTAGGACAGGGACAAGAACAAAAAGAAATTACTAGTTATACTTAAATGCATGAAAATTAGGAACAATATTACAATTTTGATAAATGAGTATTGATTAAGGAGCATTACTAGATATGAGCAATATTATAACTTAAGTCTAGTTTCTTACAAATTTCTAATTCTAAATTTATCGTTAACAATAACATTTACATGTTGTCGTTGATTTCTAAATTAAACTGAAGAAAAGAAAGTCAAGATTTCCATTAAATAAAAAAAGCTTGAAATTGAAAAACACATACGATTCATAAAATTGGGAACATTTTTTGCCTCGAAATCTCAGGGAGGGGCTACTCCCCTCCCTGAATCTGTCAGGGGGTGGCGAATGTCCCCCCGCCCCCCCTGTATCCGCCCCTGTCTGAAAGCACAGAAAATGCAGAACACATCTTGGAACGAAACATCACAGATGGTGAAAAGTTTTAAATGTCTTCTTCCATATACTGTATTAGATATTAAAGACTTTTTGCAGTTTATTTAGTTTTAAAAATATATTTTACTTAGAAATCAATTTTACTATAATATGGATGCCATTATATATTTCATCATTATTCTCTTTGGTAACAAACAACTTGACATCTTATGGTAGAAGACATTTCAAATTATTCACCAACTGTCACGTTTTGTGTGACACCCTGTATATACATATATGATTTGATAAGACAATTATTTACTTTTTTTTGAGAAAATATATTTTAAATTTTTAAATTATTCTACATTTTTTGTATTTTCTTCTGTGATTTTTCGAAAATTTAACTGAGAACTGAGAATTTAAAAAATGTTAAAAACCAGAAACTTACCAAAAATATGCGGAAACGGATCGTAAAAAAGGAAACCGACCAACAAACTCAAAATTTATAATTTTTTTGAAAACTGAAGAGTGAAGAACATAAAATAAAATAGTTTGCTGCTTTTTTTCTGCTAGTTTTGTTTGAAGGAGATATAAAGTGGTATGCTTTAAAGGTAATTGGACTGTGTAGCAGCTGATACAGGGTGTCCTAAAAAACATGGGAATTCAGTGACGAATTCGATATCGTCTTTGTAATGAATTAGTAATTTCAAGAGCCATAATATTATTATCTCTGCTAGAGTTTATTTTATGAAAAGAGTAAAAGACTGTAAAGATGTGTTTATAATGTCTCCACAAGATGAACAATGAAGACGGACAAGTTTACTCTGTTTCTATACTGCAATTTTCTTGTTTTACTATAAAGTACAACCGTGCAGTCAAAACATAAACAAACAAAATGTGAACATAGCAGACGAAACTCTTAAAGATTACAGCTTTCTCAGTAGGTATCACTATACTAAATCAAAGAATCATTTATAAAGAGGATATCGAATTCGTCACTGAATTCCCATGTTTATTGGGACACCCTGTAGAGGGGGGGATTTTTTTAATGTATCGTGCATATTTGACCCCCCTAGATTTATTTCCATCAATGCGACCTTGTTAATATTAAAAGAAATTTTCTAAAAAGTTATGAAGCGAATGTGTCGATATAAAGTAGTTCAATACTCACCTTCAACTTGTGTCTATTAGATTTCGAGGATGTTATCTGCTACTATCTTTTTCTCCGTCTTAGCCATTTCTCAGGCTGCTATTGCCTCTACAGCTCCGGGGGCAATATATACACTGAGAAGGAGAAACTCTAGCTTATCCAGGATCTACGGGACCAAGAACTACAGAAGGAAGTTGAGAATATGATTGCTGGACTTGATGAGGATCAGCAGGAGAAACTGGAGTGGCTGGATCATGTCCAAGGACCTAGACTGCCACCGAGTTCCAGATGCTCCATGATGAGTTTGTTGAGATGGGAATGGATGAGGAAGATGTTCAAGATCTCCTGGACTTATCCTTAAGATGATGGTGCAATTTTTGGCCCGTGTTCCTGGTTTGGCTGTGAAACTGAATGTTGAACGCTGGATTCACCCTTGAGAATAATGTTAAGATGTATCTTCTTGGTCTTCCTAACAAGCTTGGGCCTCTTGGATTTATTGCTCTTCACAGCGTTCTTAAGTCCCCTGAGGATATTGTTGATATCAAGATTGGAAGCTTTGTCCCCAACTCTCCTGTCATTACTCATCAGGCTCCTAGATATATTCCAGCAACCATTGCTGATGTGATCTCTACTATCTTTTATCGACGCAGAAGAGCGATAACTTCACGCTACTAGGATACCTACCGTCTCTCCACTGTTAAAAAGTGGAGTACAAGAAGAGGAAGCTTGTCGAGCTCCGCAACTATGCCATCATCCTCATGATTGAAGGGCTTGCCAAGTTTCTGCTTGGATCTATGCATCAACATCTACTTGATTTTGTCATGGGATTAATATTTATTAAACTTTTTATGTAAAATATAGATTTAAATACTTAGTGTTTGAAGTAGGAATGTAGCTTGATGTTAAAACAAGGAATATAAGATGAAATAATAATGAACAGGATAATCTTTAATATCTATCTATTTGTCAAACATTAAAAATAAGGTCTCCGCGTAAAGTCGTCTTTAACATAGATCCCCTCTCGGTGACACACCAAACCAAACAATTTTAACCTCCTTTTCTTTGTTCTCCCTTGACTGAGTCGTAAACAACCGAGAGCATTGTGAACCCATTTTCAAAAGCTAAACAAAGAATATTTTCATATAAAGAATTAGTGACTTTCGTTAATAATTAAACTGTCATTTATTTCAGAAGTTTAAAACGTCTTTTAGTACTGTTCAATTATTGATAACCCGTTTCATCAGTTATTATATCGTAAGAATTTTTTCATTATAAACATTTATTATAATAGTTGTTAAAGTTATCTATACATGTAATTTTTTTTAAGGAAATAAAGAGAATTCTTTGTTATCGATTTTTTTGAGACGGGGGTTCAACATCTTTCATCTTGAGTATCTTGCTATACATCCGTCAACACTATTATTTTTACATTTTATACTTTAGTATAGTTTTGGACGAATTTGGCAGTTTTATTTTAATTCTTTATCACAAAATACAAAACGCTTATATTAAACTAAGAACACAATTCTATGAAATGATATAAGTACTTTTCATCATCACAAAATAATCAAGGCATTTTTTTAAGTATCTGTCATGTAAATAACTTCAAAAATTTACAATTTGTGGCAACTATTAATGATTATCGCAGTACTACTGAATTTTCTTTTTTAAGTAATTTAGAATTTGCGGAAACTAATGAGGATTCAAGGGCCCTTCTTGCTTGATTGCCTGTTTGACTGCATGGCCAATGCATCACAGAACTGACAATATCCTGGAGGTCCAACAGGACCTGGTCCACCTTCAACACCTCGTCGTCCTAAATACAAGAGCTATTTGGAGAAAACAGAAAATTGAAAATATAAAGTCAGCAGTAGTACAGTTATTAAGTTGGAGCCAAAGTTCTATGCACTGACAATTTAAAACACTTACCACTGAAATTAAAATTTATTAATTAAAAACAAAATTGTTCTAATGTTTAATAACTCCAATAATTTAAAGGATACAGAGAAGGAAGACTGCATTTTGAAAAGCACATAAGGTGCACAATCTTGTTTCGATACACTCTTTGTCATCAATCAACTAGCATAGTTTGAAATATTCAAGGTCTAATAATCAGGTTACAAATATTTGGATTGGAAATACAGAGAATGAGACGAGTAATCAGTTCTTTCATCGTACTAAAGATACTTTTAAGAAATAGTTTTGAAAATGTTTGAAAATATGGGCGAATTTTCTGTTTGCAATTGTTAGTTTCACTTTCCGAGAAGATAAAAGTTTTGTGCAAACACAATAGTTAAGAAAAGTGTAGATAACTACAGACAGAAACTAAAATAGATTTTTAAAAAATCTTTAAAAATGTCTGTCAGCATAAAGAAATTCTAAAAATAACATTGACCTGGTCTTCCCGGAGCTCCTCTCAGTCCTTGAGTTCCAGGTTCTCCTATTCCTGGTGGACCAGGGGGTCCCTCTCCACCCGGGGGTCCAGGTGGTCCCTCCTCCCCTATACCAGGTCTACCAGGATCTCCGGGCATACCTCTGTCACCTTTAATTCCTGAGGGTCCATTTGGTCCTGGAAGACCCGGTAGGCCGGGAAACCCTCTTGGACCAGTTTCTCCCTGGACACCAGGGTCTCCTAAAATGAATACATCAGAAAAGAATTGATTTTGAGTTTTAAAAAGGGGGGGGGGCTGCCTTAATTTTGGTTCAAATCTTCCAATTTTTGGCTGCACGACTAATTAGTGATCGAAATTCCTATAATAAAATCAAATTGAATTTTAATGACCTCTAATTGACCTCCACAAATAGAAAATTGTCAACTATGGCTTTATGCATATCAAACGAAAGCTAGGAACCCAGGGAATACAATAGCAGCAACAAGTCCAGTGTTTTACTTTCTAATGACCTCTTACGAGCTCTAATGGCCTAAATGACTTCCAAAAATGAAAATGTTTTAACTATGGCTGTATGCATATCAGTTAAAAGCTAGGAACCCCAGGAATACAGTAGCAGCAACAAATCCCGTGTTTGGCCTTCTAATGACCTCTAATGACCTAAATGAACTCCAAAAATGAAAATATTTTAGCTATGGCTTTATGCATATGAAACGAAAGCTAGGAACCCAGGGAATACAGGAGCAGCAACGAATCCAGTGTTTAACCTTCATCTAATGACCTCTAATGACCTATAATGACCTAAAATGACCTCTAAAATGAAATGTTTTAACTATGGCTTTATGCATATCAAACGAAAGTTAGGAACCCAGGGAATACAGGAGCAGCAACGAATTCAGTGTTTAGCCTTCTAATAACCTATAATGACCTAAAATTATCTCCAAAATAAAAATGTTTTAACTATGGTTTTATGCATATCAAACGAAAGCTAGAAACCCAGGGAATACAGTAGCAGCAACAAATCTGTTTGACCTTCTGATGACCTCTAGCGACCTCTTATTACCTAAAATGACCTCCAAATCGAAAATGTTTTAACTATGGGTTTATGCATATCAAATGAAAGCTAGAAACCTAGGGAATACAGTAGCAGCAAAAAATCCAGTGTTTGACCTTCTGATGACCTCTAATGACCTGAAATGATCTCCATAATGAAAATGTTTTAACTATGGCTTTAAGCATATCAAATGAAATGAAATGTTGCGAGTGAGGGGACCCCCAACCTTGCTTTGAATAAAATCTCCTTGAAGTAGAAACATAAAAAACAGAATAGAAAATGGGGGGGGGGGAATATTATTTTTGACCCTATTCATTCAACTACAGCCCGCTTCTTATTTCTTTGATGCTACTGTATTCTCTGGGTCCCTAGCTTTTGATTTATATATAAATAGCCATATTACAAACATTTTCATTTTGGAGGTCATTTTCGGACATTAAATGTCATTAGATGGTCAAACACTGGATTCGTTTGGATTTGAACCACACATCAAATAGGACATCTCCACCATCCCTTTTAGGTGTACCTGGTCTTTTCCTGCATTTACAATAAGTACATTTTTTTCTGTATAAATCAGGCTTAAAGTTTACTCACCCATAGGCCCTCGTGGCCCAGGACTGCCAGAAGTTCCAGGTCGTCCCATACCACGTGGTCCTGGAGGTCCTTGAAGACCAGCGGTCAGCTCAGAAAGTCGATCTAAAAATTACAAAGTCTGAAAAAGAATTTAAGTGGTTCTCTCTAAAATGAAGGAAAAAGAGCTTTGAAAAAGTACTTTAATTTTCATTTGTCTGACAATATGACTGAAATAATATTTCCAAAATTGTTTTAACCAAGCACTTGCTGTAAATTTCAAATATACATCAGCTGTTAATTTGTTTCTTTTAGGCTAACGCGAAGCAAAAGGGTAAACAAGTCGTCTTGCTAATGTCATGTTTCGTAGGGCACCCTGTACATTAAAACCAAATCTATCTATAAATTTGGCTTGTCTGTCTGTTTGTCTATTTGTCTGTCTGTCTGTTTGTTTGTATCCAAGAAACGTGAAAACGGCTGAACCGATCGGGCCCAAATTTTTTGTGGGACCTCACGTGACCACAGGGAAGGTTTATGAATAATCAAAATTTCAAATATTTGTCTCTATCAAAATTCGATCTTCATTAAGTTTTTGAAAATTTTGAAAATCCACGAAATTTTTTGTGAAAATCCGCGAATTATTTTTGTTTTGTTTTACGATGTACATAAAGAGAACATGTTCACAATTAATTTAGAAGATGGGCGCGAAGCGCTCTATACAGCTAGTATCATTAGAAATAGGGAAGAAATGACGTTTCATAAAGTTCTAACGAACTGATTATCATAAAACCCTATAAAATTTCAAAGTTGACCCACTGAAGTGGACTGACAGAAGTAGTCGCACTACATTATGAGGACAAACAAAATATCTACAGACAGGCAGGTTTAAAGATTAATTCATAATGGGTATTTTTCATTAGTTTCTGCTGTACTACTACTGTAATCCTAGGAGCAACTTCTCATTAGTTACATGCAGGTTGATTACAGAGCAGTACAAGCGTATTGTGTAATGGTTATACTGCTGTGTATAACTTAAATAGGTTACCTCTGAGTACTGAAGCACAGATCTCTCTTAAATCATCTTCAGTATATTCCCGTCCCTATATGGCATATTATTATTTCAACACTTCTTAGCATTTTTTGCAACTACTTTTGTTTTGTTTTAAAAGGGATTTTTAAGACAAATCGTAATTTCTTTGAACAAAGAAACCCATCCAAATTTTTCTTTGTTAACGTCAAGGGCGTATACTGGGGGGCAGTGCCCCTCCCCCCTTAGAACTCAGAGCTTTCACAGTTTTCAAATCTTAAACTCAAGAGTGAAGAACATAAAAAAAAATTAGTTTGCTGTTCATTCAATGCACTAAGAAGATTGTATAAGTGGACCAGAGCCACCATGACAGAAGGCCGAATGAAAAATCTATTTAGAATGCACATTCATCCTAATCGGATGGGCGCTACGAAGGCTTGAGTTTGGAGGTAGTAAAAGACCATTTTTTTTGTTTTTTTTTAAAAATTTGGATCTAATTTACTTTATTCATTGCACCGCCGTTTTGTAATCTTTCTTCTTTCTTTTTATTACAAACTAACTGAAGGGCCAGGCGTTGCCCGTGGAATTTTAAAAATCGAATTAAAACTAAAAACTTCCTCACTAAAATTCAGCCCATTTGATTCAGACGTTTGGCCAGCCATAGCAAACATATAAATGAACGAAGATTACAATTGTACTCCTGCAGCCTACGTTTTTTTCAAAACAGAAACTTTTTATAAGTCATAATTATTTTATGGACCTTTGTCCTTTTTTATCTCATAGAATTTAAGTTTAAGTTGAGTTTTTCATTTTCATAAATGTCTTTTACTATACTCTAGTTTTAATACTTACTACTTATTATTACTAACATAACGTTATAATAAAATGTCGATTTTTTAGAAATAATGCTTTTTTCTGCTAGTTTTGTTTGAAGGAGAGATAAAGTATAGTACATGCAAGGTAATTGGACTGTATGTCTACCTTTAAAGTATATTATACTTATGCCTGATATCCAATTAGCCAAATCTTTTGAATTTACAGTTTAAATTTTGGTGCTTCGCGCAAATTTCGTCCCCATAGATTTATTTCTGTATACGCCCTTGGTTAACGTGATAGTCCTAAGGCTGTTCCGATAAAGAAGAAGTGGATTGTCTCCTGCATTTCTTTTAACATGTTACCGCTGTTTTCTCAAATACTTATAAATTCACGAACTGTCCTGCTCAGGTTTAATTTAAGTTTGCATTACCGGTCTTCCATCCTTCCCAGGAATACCAGGGTTCCCTGCTCTACCCGGAAGCCCCTGTCTTCCTGGTGTACCAGGGCCTCCAGGAATACCAGGGGATCCAGACCCTCCCTCGGGTCCACGACTTCCTCCTGCACCTCTTTCTCCTGGAGGTCCCGGAGGACCCATTGGACCTGGTGGTCCAGTGTCTCCGGAGCTAACCATTCCCTGCATCTCAGTTGGTACCAAAGTAACACTCTCTCCGGGGGGTCCTGGAGGCCCAGGTGGGCCTGGCGAACCAGGTTTTCCTTCCAAACCAGGTAATCCTTGGGGTCCCATGTTTCCAGGTCGGCCCGCTGGTCCCTAATAGGAAGTATGGTTATTAATTACTAATGAAATGTTTAATAGATGATGACCAAACATTAAACCATTAGTTTTATAAATATAGAATAAATATATAGATTTTACATTGAGATCATTTTAACAAATAGCCCAGCTAAATTGTAAAATCGAAGAGTCACTGTGTGACTGTTTAGTGCGTAAATATTTTGCTTTATTTTCTTAAATTCACTTTAGTATTTGAGAAGACAAAGAGAATAACAAAAAATCGGAGATTTACCTTCAGCCCCCTAGTACCACGCTCACCAGCAGGTCCAGCGACACCAGGAGATCCGGGATCCCCTGTTAGACCTTGAGGTCCCTTCGGACCAACTGGTCCTGGTAGACCAGCATTACCCATTTGTCCTGGTGGTCCACGGTGACCTCTGGGACCCTCCGGACCAGGTAAGCCAGTATCCCCTTGTTTTCCTGGCGGCCCTTTATGGCCAGGCAAACCTGGTGGGCCAGAATTTCCTTTAGATCCAGGAGGTCCCGAAAGACCTTGAATGCCAGGGGTTCCGTCCTCTCCTGGCTTACCTCTATCTCCAGGTGATCCTGTCATTCCTGGTTTTCCATCCATGCCATCCTTACCATCCAGTCCTGCTGTTCCGGGATCCCCCTGTCGACCAGGAGGTCCAGGGTCTCCTGGTAAACCCGGAATACCTTGTTGCCCTGGTTGTCCAACCAGACCAGGAGGTCCCTGTATCCCGGGAGATCCTGGTTTACCAGCAATACCTTCTTCACCCTTTTGACCGTTTTGACCGGGCATTCCACGGTCCCCTTGCCTTCCTTCTTTGCCTTGGGGACCAAGAGATCCTCTCTCTCCTGGTACACCTGACTCTCCTCTTTGACCTTGTTCACCACTAGCTCCTCGTTCACCTTTAGGTCCTGGTAATCCAGGAATCCCAGGAGCTCCGTCCAGGCCAGGTGGTCCAGAGGGTCCAGGAACCTTTTCACCTTCAACCATCGCTCCGGGAGGACCTGGTGGTCCAGCTGGTCCAGTTCTTCCCAGTACTCCATCTCGACCGGGAGGTCCAGGCTGACCAGCATCTCCTTTAGGACCACGCTGTCCATTTAATCCGTCCTTGCCAGGTAGACCTTGAAGTCAATATTTTTATAAGTCAAAACTGTTTTCACTTCCAAGCCACACATTAGTTTTTATTGTCTTCCCACAGCCATGAGCCACAACTATTCGGTCTTTCATGTCGCAAAATTTTCTTTGTCCAGCAATTATTAGTTTTACCATTTACAATTGTAATTGCCGGAAAACAAGAATGTTGTGGCATGGAAGACCGAGAAGTGGTTCATGGCTGCCGGAAAATAAAAAGTTAATATTTGGCATAAAAGGGTAAATAATTGTGGCTCATGGCCGCCTGCTTCCCACCGCTTGTTGAAAATTAAAAACTTATATTTATTAAATAATTACCTCCTAATCCTCTCTCTCCACTATCTCCTCTTTCTCCCTTCTTTCCGTCTAAACCCGGCAAACCCTAGAATTTTCATTTTGAAATATCTAATAAAAAATGTTAAAAATATTTCTAACCTCAAAATTTTTTTATTTTGAAACAAAAATCTGTGCGCCTTTTGTTTCACTAAAGAACTAATTAATCGGCAGAGTACAGGGCTACCCACAAAGGATGAGACTTCAGAGACGAGACGATTGTACGGAATTTGTTTTTGAATTCATGATTCACTGCAATTGTAAACTTATTTGTTTTTATGCCAAATCATTAAATAAGCCATTTGGTTAACATATCTAAGGCAGAATACTTAATTTTAACCTTGGGATCGTCATATTTTAAGAGTTTCTTTACAGTCTCATCCTTTGTGGGTAAACAAGTATTTCCAGGAGCTACTTAATGCTTAGAAGTGCATATGATTTCACAGACCTTTGATTAATGGACTATAATGGAAAAAGAACTACATCATGTAATTCTGAAGATTTGTTATAGGGGACTTCATACACTTAGTAAAAATGATCAAACCAGAGACTAAAAGAGTTGAGAATTGACTCCAAACTCTGCATCTGTTGGTATGTAGCAACAAGCTATGTACGTTTTATTTAACCTTACCGGTGTTCCACTATTTCCTGGTGGTCCTGGTGGGCCTACTGGTCCAATAACTTGAGATATGTCTCCTGGTGGACCACGGTCTCCAGGACTACCAGGAGGACCCGGTAGTCCAGGTATTCCTGATTCTCCCTTTCCTCCTTTTGGTCCAATAGCTCCAGGTAGACCAACCATGCCTAAATTTTTTTTTTTTCATCTTCATCTTTCATACTCAGGGAGACTTTGAGGTTTTGTTTACCTAATGGGCCTTCAGGCCCTGAAGGTCCACGATCTCCCTTTAGTCCTTCAGGCCCCGCAGGTCCACGAAGTCCAGGAGCACCTTGAGGTCCAGATCGCCCCTTAACATTAAACAATAATTAATATACTTCATATATTCAATCTAGTGAGACCTTCTTTTCGTGTTACAGGGCAGTTTACTTTAATATGCTTGGCGGTTTTCAGTAACACAGACCAGAATCAGAAAGAGAAAATGCATTCCTACTGAACATCGTTATATTGTGTTAAAAAGTGCTTCTTATAGTTATAGGTACAAAGTTCAAATAGTTTTTAAATCTAGGAGCCAAATTTTGTATTCTTATAAATATTTCTATAAAAAAATCTTAATTTTGAGTGATTAAGTGGAACGGCACGCAAAGTTGTTTGCTCTATTCTTGAAAATCAAAATTTAAGGCTCTAGAACTTGGTCTAGAAGGTGTCTGCTCCCTCTTCTTGTGCCTCTATTTTTTCCAGGGGGGGAGTATCCACCCCCCCCCTTTAAGTAGTCTCTGCAAAGAGGTCAGACTTGCTCAGTCTACATGGAATTTAAAACTGCTTAAATTTTGACGTTACAAGTGTTCCCAAGGGACAATTGTCCCTTCATACGAGAGGCATTATCAACTCTTAACACATGTGATTTGTGGTTTTCAAATCTTTGGAAAAGTACCCTTTCTTCCTATTCTTATCTATTGGCTCCATAACTTGAATATTACCCTAATCATTAATAATCTTGTGAACCTCGGAATTTTGTGGGATCCTACAAAATCATGCAAACCATTTACAAATGTGATCTGTATCATGTATCAATTACATTCTAGATTGTATGGGAAGATGTTCCGTATCCAAGTTTAACCACAAACGTTTCCCCATCGGGCCATCTAACATGTACGTGCTGGTAGACAACAAGCAGAAAGAAAACTGTGAAATAAATTCTTCTATTAATGTATAAAATATATTTTGAATATTTCTTCTGCCACTTATCTATAAAATAAAGCTTTTCGCTCATATTTGTATAAATATCTTCCTTAAATAAGTCTAGAACATATTCTACTGTTTATTAAGATTGGTTATTGCTGGACACTGTGTTTCATGTTAGACATATATATATATATATATATATATATGTACAGTGATAACCAGAAAACAATGGAATAGAAAGACAACATTATAGCAATACTTAAGCGTTTTAATGTTGTTACAAAGCAAATATTTTTACTAGTAACTTAGCAAAGCACAATTTAAGTGAAAAGGGTCTATTTACACTTGCTATGTCTAATGTTCATTGAACAAGTTAAAGTCCTAACTTTAGTTTAAAAGTAGTCTTCCTATTTCAGAGTTTTCTGGTTTTCACTGTATATCACTGTATATATATACATAAAAATATATATTAGCTACAGGGTGTTTCACGAAACATGACAGTATCAAGACGGTTTGAAGGTCGTCTTTGATCTTTGACATAATATGCAGCCTTTCTTTGTTAAACTAATCTTAAAAGTAAAATTCTAGAGTTAAAAATCACAAAACACCACCAATATTGGCATTTCAAAAATGTGGTCTGCCTTTTCTGTGGTTTTAATTTTAACGGAGATATGAAGAATTTCGTTCAGAATTCGACTAATTTCGTTTTGTTTAATAAAATAGAAATCTGAAAGAAATTCTTAATATCTCAGGTAATATTGACAGCACAAGAAAGGGCGGACCACATTTTGGAAATGCCAGGACTAGGAGAATTTTATAGTTTTTGTTTCAATAATCATTCACGTTAAAGTAGGTTGACGACTATATGTCACAAATAAATTCAATGTCAAAGACGACTTACAAGTCGTCTTGTTACTGCCATGTTTCGTGTGACACCGGCCTGTAACAAAATCTATTTTTTTCAAGATGGAAATTTATTTTCAATTTTTGTTTTAAATTCCACGGGCAAATTCCACTTCAGTTAGTAGAAAATACATATAAAAAATACTTAACATTATTTGGGTTGTGGATGTAGAAGGCAATAAAAAGATAAAAACCCTTAATATTTTTTACAATTTTTCTTCCTTTGTCAATTTCTTCCCATGATATAAATACAAAAGATTAATGAAACAACAACATAAAACTGCATTGAGGTTAGATATTTTTATTCAGAAACAGATTTCAGTTAACCTGAAAATATGTGACAATTCTCTTTCAGTTTCATCCTGGTCCCCTACATCAGACCTCTCCAATACATGATGATAACATATAAGGAATATGTATGCTTGAAATCAATTATTTAGGGAACCTCGCGTAAATATGAACACACAAGAAGAGGGTGTCCCATTAAACATGACAATTAGGAGATGATTTGAAGATCGTCTTGAGTCATTTGTGACATTCATTTGTCAACCTTTTTACAAGGATGATTCTTGAAACAATAATCTCAAAATACGCGTAGTCCTGGAATTTTCAAAATTGGGCCTGCCCTTTTCAGGCTTTTAAAATTATCGGAAATTTCAAAAGTTTAGAAATTCAGATTTAGAAAATTTGGTTTTTTTAGATCATTTGTTATCTGAAGTGGGGGCAGTTTTTCTTTTATACACACATATAGGCTTTGCAAATTTTACAATAGTATTTAAACATTTGAATGCGAGAGGTTCAAGGACTTAAAAAATATCTTTAATTTTTATATTCCGCACAATTTTGCTTTTACAATACAAATTTAGCCGAATTTGTGCAAGTTTGCAATTTTTTGCAGATTACTTTTGTAGAAGTTTATGAAACTAGCCTTATAGGGCGCTTCGCGCCCATCTTCTAAATTAATTGTGAACATGTTCTCTTTGTGTACATCGTAAAACAAAACAAAAATAATTTGCGGATTTTCACAAAAAATTTCGTGGATTTTCAAAATTTTCAAAAATTAAATGAAGATCGAATTTTGATGGAGACAAATATTTAAAATTTCAATCATTGATAAACCTTCCCTGGGGTCCCTAGATGTCCCACAAAAAATTTGGGCCCGATCGGTTCAGCCGTGTTGACGTTTATTGGATACAAACAGACAAACAGACAAGCCAAATTTATATATAGATGCTATGGATTAGTACAGATAATATTGGTCTCTGGTCTCAACTGTCATGTTTCGTGGGACACTCATTATTTGATTAATGCATCTGTGTAGTGTGGATTGCCGTGAATCACAGTGATATTACGGACATGCCAATAGCAATGGAAGTCAGTGCAGAGAGCGTGCAGGTAGTGCAGGAAGTGCATGGAGTGCAGGGAGTGCAGGTAGTGCAGGTAGAGCAGGAAGTGCAGGGAGTGCAGGTTTATAAATCTAACGATGAAACATAACAAATTAAGGAGTGCTGGGATACCTACTCTTGAACCTCGTACTCCCTTTGAACCAGGCCATCCTGGAATACCAATCTCTCCAGGTTCTCCCTTGAACCTATCCTGAAACCATCCCAGTAGATAATCTCCCTATAGCTAATACTCCCCTAGTTATTTTTTTAGCTGGTACTCACCGTAATAGTCTCTTCTTGTTTAAAGTCTCCTAGCAGATATTTAAAAGTATCTACTAGGAAAGTTTAAATGGCTGCAAGGTTGCACTACACCAAAAAAGATATACTTGGAGGCACAACAATCTTATTAAATATATCACTGGATTAAATGATATTGGCCGATTTTTGATGTATGCCGACATACAGGGGTAGGTACTGGCCCCCCCCCCCCCCCCTCCTTGTGACCGCAGAGAAACCAGATCTAGTAATAATCGATAGAATGTAGGAAAAGATATTTTTGAGCTTACTGTCCTGCATGGAAACAAATATCAAAAATGCCAACGCTCAAAAGATGAACAAGTATGAACATTTTATCACTGATATAACAACTAGGGATGTGTCTGTTCACCCTTTTGAAATCGACTCAAGAGGATATATCTCACCATCAAATAAAGCAAATCTAAAGAAACTAAGAAACTGAATAAGTTCTGCAAACCCATTGTTGGTTTCAAAGCAATGCGCGAAAATCTATCAAGCCTTACAGTTCTGTCATCATACCACATTTTTAGAAAACGAAAAACGTTAGACTGGGACCAAAAAACTCCATTTCTGAAAAACACCTCTGAATAACTAAACTATACTCGTGCTAAAAGTCTTGTATTGCACCTTTTTTTGGCAAACCCTGTCAATTATAAAATGCGATATCTAGAGAAAAGAGTATTAGTTTGTAAACTTTTATATTGTTTAATGTAATTTTGCTTTAGACAAATATAAATGATGAATAATATCCTGGTAGATATTTAAAAGTATCTACTAGGAAAGTAGACATAGTAGATACTCTCCTAATATATAGATACCATTCTTGTAGAAACTCTCCTAGAAAAAACTATCCTACTAGATACTTTCCTAGAAGATAACACCCTATACTCATACTATCCAAGTGTACGTACACGTATTTTCATTAGTATCCTAGTAGATACATACTACTTTTAGCAAAATATTGTCCTTTCTATTCTTTTCTTTGATGTAGATAATATACATTATATAACTTTTAAGGAGAACTGAGGAACCAGATAATATGTTTCTCGTTATCAAGGACATAAAAGTTTAAATAATGCTTTAATGTGTGAAATAAAAGCATGCTACGCCATTAAACGTAGGCGGATTTTTGGTAACTTAATTTGGTAACTAACATTTTGGTAACCAACAATTTGGTAACTAACAATTAGGTAACTAACAATTTGGTAACTTAAAAATTTGGTAACCCGACTATTTGGCAACTAACAATTTGTATAATTGAAACTTACATTTCAAAATCATTGTTTGGTATATTTATTTTCTGTGGACTAATGTTTTGTTAACGTAATTTTCCACTTTTTTCTGTATTTTTTCACAATTGTCGCCCTCTTTCCCACTTATCTCTGCGGACCACTGTATTTTTTAACAAAGGTCGTCTATGTTTTTCGCTATTTTCTGCGGACCACTGTACTTTTTAGTCAAATAAATATGACCACAGCGCTCGGTCCCCTAGCCCCACATATCAGTTATCATTGTATTATTTTTTATTTAAACGGCCGCAGCGCTCGGCCCCCTAGCCTGTCCTAGCCGCAGCGCTTGGCCTAGAAATTGTCTTAACCTAACCTAACTCCCCATATCGGATATCATTGTATTTTTTGTTTATAAATAAGGCTGCAGCGCTCGGTCCCTAAACCTGTCCTAGCCGCAGTGCTCGGCCCAGAAATTGTCTTAATCATACCTAACCCTACATATCGAATATCATTGTATTTGTTTGGATAAATATGACCACAGTTCTCAGTCCCCTAGCCTGTCCTAGCCGCAGCACTCGACCCAGAAACCATCTTAACCTAACCTAACCAAATTGTGAGGTTACCAAATTATTAGTTACCAAATTGTCCAGTTACCAAATTATTAGTTACCAAATTGTTAGTTACTAAAATGTTAGTTATCAAATTATTAGTTACCAAAAAATCCGCCCATCCATTAAACGCCTATCAATCATGAAGAAACCCTTTATAAGCAAAAAACATAGTGTACTTACTATTTCTCCCGGCGTTCCCGGAAAGCCCTGTTTTCCAGGCTCTCCAGGGGGCCCTATTCTTCCTGTCGGTCCTCTTTCTCCGGGCTGGCCAGTTCTACCTGGTAACCCCTGTTCATCACAAACATTTTCTGTGACAATATTATTCGTTATTAAACTCCTCTTATTGCTACAATGAGAGCCATAAACGTTGGAATACGAAGACGACTTTTTGACTTAATAAGTTGTTTAATAAGTTACTAGTCAAACTTTTTGCTGTAACAGCATCAAATACACTTAAACATGGCTTTAATGGCGTCTTCTTATTCCACAGTTTTCTGGTTCTAACTGTACTTAGCAGCAACTTAATACCTGAACTCCATCGTTTCCCGGTGGACCACCAGGACAGGTGACCTCGCACTGAGGCTGCTGAGGCTTTTCACGCGCCTAAATAAAACACAAATGAATAATTAAAGCATCGTTCTATTTATTCAATTCTTTATTTGAATGAATATTTCACTAAGTTTCTTTAAAAACTGGATTTCGTAAAGTAAATACTAACTGGTAACTCGTCACAAGTTTCCCTTTCAACACTTTCAGGATCACACGCCATAACCATCCACTGTAAATCTATACCGTGAGTAGAGCTGGTGTCTGCCTCCTAAAAAGTAAATTTTTAAAAAGAATATGTCGAAAGGTCAAAGTAAAAAATTCTCCTTTTACCTTTGCAATGAGAATTTGTCCGTTAAGATCTATTTTAGTTTGAACAGGTTGCAAGGGTTGTTCTCCGACAGGTTCACAATTCACGTAGAGAACAACCTTGTCTCGAAATACACCGAAGTGAAGTTTGTGCCACTCAGAGTTAAATACCTGATAATTAAAGTATTCTAGTAAGAAAATAAATTATTGATTATTGAAAACTCTCTGATAAAAATTAGATATTTTAAATGTCTAACCTCAGGTTTTTGCCAGGATAGGGTTTGTATATCACCGTTAAAATTTAGAATAGAGAACTCAATAGTGTTGAGCCCAGGATTGAGTCCAACAGAAAACTGAGATACACCCCTTCAATCATATTCTATATTTTTTCTAGCTTATTGGAGAAGGCTAGGGGGGTGAAATCGAATTAAGCCAATTTCATATGTATATGATATATATATTTCAAACTATAAATTCTTCTAGATCATATATAGTCATAAGTTGAAATACTTAAAACCATCAAATTGCTAAGATAAACAGGGTGACCCAAAAATCAGGGATTATGGTTTTTCAGCCCTGTTAATTGTTTAAAAATGCTCAAAAATGGACTCTAGTGACTGCATGCACTTAAAAGTCAAAATTAAAGGACTAGAAGGTGCCTACTCTTTCTTCTTGCGTCCCCCTTCCCCACCATGCATAGGCCGGTTCATCTTGTGAGTAGTTTTAATTTTTATAAGTTTTGTATTCAGATCCTCCCATTTGGTCCTTGGAAATAGACAATTTTTTGTGCATGGCATCAAATTGGGGCCTCTGTAAGAAATCATTTGAAACAAAGTAACTTAAGAAGATATTCATTAATTTTCTTTCTGCAATTTAGATTAAAAAAAAAATAAAAATAATGATTAAAATATAAAAAAGTTATTATTTGTTAAAGGAAAACAGAGAGGTTTTCGAGCATTGGACATAATTTTACGTCAAAATGAAGGATCGGAATACAAAATTTACATTAACTAAAATTAAAAACACTTTTTCGAGTCATTTTCTTTTTGCATAAATACTGTAGCGGCTGCATTAATATAAAACATTCCTGGTTGTGGATATCCTAATTAGGTTCCAACGTTGGTTTGTTGGATTTCGGTTTCTGAAAGTTGTGATAAAGCTAAACTGCTCAGGTAGACCTTGGTTGAATATTCTCCTGAAAAAATAAGAAAATTAAGACAACTCTGAAAGTTATTCATTACATTTTAAGGCAGCCTCGACTTTAAAGTTTCCCAACGCCTTGGCCTTTGGTTTTACCTCACCAACTCACCTTTACTTTTTTAATTGTAACGCGCTTGTTCCTAACTAAAGTTTTAAGGGAGTATTTGGCAAAATACTGACAGATTTTTACGTGAGAGCGTGCACATTTTAGTTCGCAGTGTTAGAGTGGATCGTTTTATGATTCCTTTAGTTACAATATTGATGACAATGTCTCTTTTCTCCAGTTTTCACAGAAATTGATTTATTATGAAGCTAAAGAAATATAATTGATGAAGCACTTACAGAGTGGGCATAACCAGGTTTGCAGTGGAATCTATCCTGTAAGCTGTTTGCATACGATTCGAACCACGAACTCTGCTCACACCAGGATATCCGTCCAAGTTCACATCGAGCTCAAACTTTCGAATAAAGTCAAATGACTGTAGGTCGTCATCTCCTGGCTTGTAATCAGCACATGGATACTTCGCATCTTCAACCACAGCTGAAACATTTTGTGTTTATTAACCCATGCAAATCATAGGAGGGAATAAGATTGGCAAAACGATTGATTTGTATACGAGATTTGTGAGAAGTGTTTGTTCTCATATTCTTTAAAAAAAATTAGATTTCTTTTAAAAAATAACTATTGGTGGTCGGTGGAAAAATATAAAACTTGCTACAAAATTCAGAGAAACTAACAGTTTTATAACAGTGATAAATTGTTTGTGTCTTTTGTTTCAATGGATAAAATGTTTAGCAGCTTACTTGGTCTTTTATCAACATAACCTGGAGCGGGAGTAATTGGTGGTAAAACCGGACGTGGTCTTCTGGAGGGAATAGGTAGAATTGTTGTTGTTGTTGGAACGGTAGGGAATATTGTGGTACGGGGTTCAGCCTCGGACAGGAAGAAGCTTGCATCATTGTTGTCTTGATACGACTGAACGGTCTCAAGCTTGAGCTGTCGGTTAGATTGGCGAATCCATTGATCAGGTTGACCTGCAGACTCAAACGAAGTATACCCTGCGAAAAAACGTCCATCCCTAGCATTGAAACTGCATTCCTTTCTAAACTCCAGATTGTTCATATCTCCTCTCTCTACCCAAAGACTTGTTCCTCTACTCCGCATGTAATATCCAGGTATGGATGAAGATTCGAATGACACTGTTTCATCACCCCATAATCCAGAAACCATTCTAAAAACATGTCCTTCAAGTTCCAACTTTCCCTCACCATCTCTCTGATTTCCATCATTCCACGCCCAGAAATGTTGAGGCACAGCTTTACTCTCAACTAAAATTGTTTTCCCCAAAAACTGTCTCCAAACTTCCTCCACTCTCTCCATCTCACCATCAGAAAGGTTTGCCATGATAAAGCTCGCATCATTTTTGTCTGTGTTGGAACTGATGAATGAAAGCTCTAGCCTACGGTTATTATGCCGGATAAACCATCCTGGTTTTAAAACAGATTCAAACGAAATAAAACTTTTGAAAAAATGATCCATCCGTGAAAACCATGAACAATCTATTTTAAACTGTTCATCTCCTTCATCCCCCTCCTCAATATATATCTTCCCGTCCCGGTTTCTCAGAAATCGACCGGGATTAGAAATGGATTCAAACGAAATTGTCCCCTCCCCAAATAGACCAGGGCTGATCACCTGAGCAGTGTCAAAGTCACAACAACAAAAATGGTAATAACAATTGTGGTACTTTTTAAAGAACGGAAGAAAATAGCAGGTATATTACAGTTGAAAAAAAATTAGTTAAAAATAATGTTAATTTGACAGAGTTCCTTGAATAATTCTGGTTGGTTCATGAGATATCCTTCAATACCCTCATCTATGGCCCAGTGATATCCCGGACGGTTTTTACTGGATACTCGAACTGTCATCTCATCGCCAGGAACTGGAATATCCGCCACAGGTATGAAAAGGACAAAAGGGATGCAAAACGAATTCAAAGCACTAATTAAGACTGGGAAACGTCTCAAATAATGTTGAACAATTAAGGTCTGTCGAAAAGATAAAAAAGGGATATCGATAAAACAGCTTTTCAAAATTTAAACTTAAATTAAATAGCTAGAAAAGCTAAAAAGTTATGTATGAAATTGAATTAAAATGGTTTGAAACGTACATATACTAAATGGAGTTTAAGGTATGTGTCAAAAGTAAAAAGATTCTATAATTAACGGAAATAAAATAAAAAAAGATGGAAAAATGTAATAAATAAAAATAAAAATAACAAGGAGTTAAAAATTAACAAAGTTGCATCAATTGTTGAATTAAATTAGTAGAACGAAGAGTCGAATATAGAAATAAAAATAAAGGAAATTTTAGAATGAAAAGAATCAGAGGATCAAGGGAGGATTGAAGTAAGACATAAGAAAGAAATAATACGCTCAAAATAACATATAATTGAAACCCAAGTATGAAACTTTTTTTAAGATGCAATGTTAAAAATGTCTAAGGGATTAAAATGAAAGATAAAAAAGGGTTGCGTCCAGAATACATCATCATCTCTTTAACCGTTTTCTCTATGGCCATTTGCCCTATTGTCAATTGCACTGTAGACCATTTGCTCAATATGCTATTTTCTCTATATGACCTTTAGCAATATCAATTATCTAAATATATCTATTTTTTGCCTACGGCAGGTGCTGGAAATTCAATAATGGTGTTCCCGTACAGAGGGTATAAACTTGGGTTTTCCGAATTTATGGAGACTGCAATGTTTTTCTCCCTCCTCGGCTTAACGTCATTGTTTTTTTAGTCTATCCTAACCCTTCTAGCCAGTACCACAGTGTTGTACCTCTGTTGTAGCGTGCGGCCCCTCAGAACTTCAGAAGGCCTAACCTAACTCACAGCAGGAGTTGTAACCTTTGGACATTTATTGATAACAAAGAGCCTCATTTGCGGTCTAATTAACCTTCGAGAAAAATTAGTGGCCCAACCCGTCGGCACCCCAAGAAATAATGTAATGTAACCATTAGATTATGGGGTGTAAGTTTTATATAATGAAAATATGCAAACGTCATGGTGAATGAGGTATGGAGTTATGGAGTAATGGTCAAAATCAGTAGAGCAAATGGCCATAAAGAAATTGCAAAAAAGCACACTTTTTTAAAATCAGAAAAACAACAAATGAATCGAGTCTTTGTCACACACTCTGATTTTATAATCCCAATATCTTTGCAACCTATAAACATGTAGAACTTAGATATTTCAAAATATAACTTCTGTTGGATCAAATAGTCTAAGTTTGAAAAATCAAAGATTTACACCATCAGGTTGCAAAGTTATAGGGCATGGAAAATTTGAGTTTGTGGCAAAAACTCAATTCCTTATAAGAACACACTTTTTATGCTGCATTTATTGCTTATTTGCTGTTGATCCAAGTGTGGTCTTTACAAACTAGTTTATGAATGTTTTCAGGTCAATGAGAAACAAATGTCTAGATGCTTTAAATCAACATTCAGATAGCTTTAGTTTAACAGAAATAAGAAGCATTGATAGGAAAATTAAGTAATTTTTACAATATTATATGCATGAAAGCGCTGAAATAAGAAGCAAGACCTTCAATGTATTTCAAAAAATGTCATAAAACTATTCTACTACAGTCGTCGTCATACAACAATACAATGAAGACGACTTTATATTTCAATTTAAGCATCTTGGACACATAAAAATGAAAACAATTAGAATCTGGCAATAAATAGATTCTTTTTATGTTTACTTATAATCTTGCAATTTAAAAAAAAGGGTTGTTAGAAATCAAAAACTAAGAAGAAAATTTGTCTTCATTGTATTGATATAAATGCCGACCGCTGTAGATTTAAAGTTTCTTAAAGTAAAACTATCGGGTTTTGCTTCTTTTATGCAAAAGACACAAACAAAGAAGAAAAGAAGAGATACAATGATAAATATTTACTGTCATAATTCTTGGAGAGAATTATGGAAAATATTTATGGAAATAAGAAATATTTAGCAAAAGCAATGTTAATGATTTAAATTTCATAAGTTTTAATTTAATAAGGTTAATCTTACTTGTTGGGGATATGAGAGATTGGTCTCCTCTACTTGGGCCTTCAGAAACTCCTAACTCAGTTCCAACTACAAAGCAATTACAAAAATACATTTGGTAAAAATATTCTCTAAATAGAAAATAAAATATTTACAAGAAAAATTAACAAGAAGAATGACTAAGCATAAGTTAGATTTATAGTTATTATTACTTTTAAGAAGAAATATTAACAAATACTTTTAAAAGAGGTTTATATTTTGTACATTTTTTCAACATTTTCCTACCCATTTTCAAACTATCAACTGAACAAGAAAAACTGCAAATGTGTGTTTTTCGACACCATTTTAATAATAAAAGTTTATAAAAATATGTAACAAAATTAATTTAAAAAATAAAATATATCTGTAAAAAGCTAGATATGTAAAATGGCATACATAGAGGACAATTTAGTTTAACCAAAATTAAGTTTGAGCTGTTGAGCTGAATCTCTTTTGGTTTTGGTAAACTCCTTTAACTCAGTCACCTGGTTTTATCTCTCCCTCTGCATAATATTCCCCGAGATCATCGTAGTTATAATTATTATAATCGTAATCAGTATACGCATACTCTTCAACCTCTAAAAATAAAAGGAACTGAGTTTTTCCAATATCTTTGCAACCCAATGTCGTAGGCCTTTGATATTTTAAACTATAAATTCTGTTTAATCTAATCATCTAATTTTGAAATTTTAAAGGTTTATACCATCAAATTGCAAAGATATAAGGCTAAGAAAATTTGAGTTTGCGGCAAGGACTCAATTCCTTTGTAAAGATCTTTATTCTGGTATTGATCTTTCTCTAATCTTTATTCAAGTATTGATATTTGTTCTAGGGACCAAGCTTAATAATTAGCAAGAAGTAGTTTATTGCATAGACCCAGTTGAACTACTTCTCCTCAAATAGAACCGGGGAAAAAAGTGGTTTAACTATGTCTATGCGGCTCAGCTATTTCTCCCTATTCATGTAACCGTGTTTTGACTTTGCACAAAAGATTCTTATATATTAATCTTGCACAGTTTTCAATCCTTGCCAATATGTTGTCCAATTTATAAATTACTAGCTATTTTCTTTTCTTAAATTGTCAAACAATAAAAAAAGAAAATTTTTTAAGTCAATTTTTAAAATGCATAACCTTTCATGGAGTCATGGGAGGACCAACAAAAAAATTGGGCTGGATCAGTTTAGCCGTTTTGACGTTTATTGGCTACAAACAACCAACCAAACAGACAGACAAGCAAAGTATATGATATAGACTATGTTTGACGTATTAAACTTACGTGGATCAGGAGCTCTTCTATCTCTATTCTGTTTTCTCCCCTGCCTCCTACAGCTAGCATGTTCCAGTGTGAGGATGAAAAACGAAACCCTAAATCAGTTAGATGAACTGTCTTGCAACCTCTATACTAGGAGAAAGAGGGGAATAAAAATGCTTAAGATATAAAGCGATAAGTTCTTTTGAGTCTGATTCGAAACTTAGGTCCAGATATATCCTTCATGTGTGCAGTTATCCTTCATGTGCAGTTATCCTTCATGTGTGCAGTTATCCTTCATGTGTGCAGTTATCTTTCATGTGTGCAGTTATCCTTCATGTGTGCAGTTATCCTTCATGTGTGCAGTTATCCTTCATGTGTGTGTGCAGTTATCCTTCATGTGTGCAGTTATCCTTTTTGTGCAGTGTGTGCAGTTATCCTTCATGTGTGCAGTTATCCTTCATGTGTGCAGTTATCCTTCATGTGTGCAGCTATCCTTCATGTGTGCAGTTATCCTTCATGTGTGCAGTTATCCTTCATGTGTGCAGTTATCCTTCATGTGTGCAGTTATCCTTCATGTGTGCAGTTATCCTTCGTGTGTGCAGTTATCCTTCATGTGCAGAAAGTTAAAATATAATTCAATGTTAACACATGTGTGCAGAAAGTTAAACTATGTTTTAATGTTAACAACATATCTTGTAGAGTGTACACAACTCCTAATCAATGTTGAAGTTTAAAAGAGTTGTTTATTTTCGATATATTTTAGATACGGCCTGAAATATGATATGCATAGGCTGTATGATGTAGTTCTTTAATAGTAGGATGATCGATTAGATTAGAAAATGAATATGCTTTAAATTCACAGTTCACAGATTATGAAGGGCTCTAAATTAAATAAAAGAAAAAAGGGCGAATAACCTAAAACCAACTTTAAAAACTGTTATTTGAAATTTTCAATAGTTTATATATGTAAAATAAGGAATGAAAATTAACAAAAACAAATTACAAATCCAATTTACCCGATCAACATAATTACCTAATACATTTGAAGATTCAATAAGTTAATTTAGTTAATTGATTTAAATAATGAATTTGACATTTTTAATGAATTTTTACAGTCATAACCAGAAATCTGTGAAATAGGAAGACGACTTTTAAACTCAAGTTAGGATTAAAACTAGTTCAATGAACATTAGACATATCAAGTTACAGTGTAAATAGACCTTTTTCACTTAAATTGTGTTTTGCTAGTAAAAATATTTGCTTTGTAACAACATCAAAACACTTGAATATTGATATAATGTCGTCTTTCTATTCCATTGTTTTCTGGTTATCATTGTATGAGAAAACAATTTTAAAGGGCATTTTCGTTCAGGTCATTTATTTAATACTATTTTCGTTGTATCTTTCATCCTGTGATGCTTTTATTCATATCATAAATTTCCTTAGGGGGGTGCTCCCCCCTTGCCGCCCCACCCCTCCAGGAGCTCAGGTGGGGCGGGCGTGGGCCCTGCCCCCCCCCCCTCTAGTCCGCCCTTGTCTATATTATGCATTCCATGTATGAAGATCCTATTAAAAATATTTCACATGTTTTTAGTAAATTTATCCAATCGATAAAGTAGGTCACGGAGCTAAGGTCTTGAATAGCAAAAGCAAAAATATGAAATATGAAACATATGTCAACCATGCGGCGGCGTCTAGAAAACATATCCTTCCTTCCAACAGTTTTGAGATGTTTTTGCAAAACAGATGATTTTTGTTTTGTTTACCTGACTATCCATTTCATCTTCCCAGCCATTAAGAACTGGGGGGAAGAGTAAATACTACCCTGCCATACAAATCTATAAATCAAAAATCTATTTAAAATATACAAAAATTATCAAATTATAACAAAATCTAAATGTTTCAAGCAGATTCCTTTTGAACTTGTTTTCTCTACAATGGAGCTGATCGCTCGCCACAATTCAGATTGCAAAGCTAGATAAAAGGATTAGAAAATTAGAGTGTTCATTTTCTACTAAATTTCAGAGATGATTTTGTTTGAGATAACTTTCATATTCTGTGAAATTCTTTATTCATATTCTGTTTACTCTGGTGTGCCTGATTAGAGGAGAGCTCCGCAAACTAGTGTTCCCTCTTATAGAGCAGATTTAGAACGGATAAATACAGTCTGGGAAATTATCATTCGCCCAAACATTGCACAAAATTAACAAATTATGCTTTTATTTTCATTTCATGTGAATTCATTAAGAATTATTTAGAAATTAATTGCAAATTTCTGAAAAAAGTCTGTGTTTTTGTTTTAGCATATTTTGTTATTTTCCTAGACTGTGAGTAGGGGATAAGTCAGGGTGAAGAAACATGTGTTGCTCCAAATTCATAACTTGGCATTTAAAAAGAAATAACAAGAATATTTAGGATAATTCTTCATTTTATCAAGATTCTCAAGATGCTTCAATTTCAAAGTCAATGATAAATAACATTGGAATAGTTACGAAGATAAACAGTGTTATTTTTAATTTTTTTTCTTCTTCATGCAGGGATGAAACATGTTTTAAAAAGTTAATAATAAATGTGCTTTGCTCAATTACCTGGACCTCTTCCCCTACTACAATGTTTGTATAATTTATTACGAAAAAACTAAATCTTCTTTCTTGTATTCGAAGTGAACTGCAGAAAGAAAACAAAAAATAGACTTTTGTTTGCTACTAAAGCAGATAAAGAAAATGAGTTTCTGAAACAAACTAAAATTCCTATTAGTTCTAGGTTAAAAATTTAAATTATCCAAAACCGAGTTCATTTTGTTTTCTTTCCGATCCCTCGTAATTTTTAAGATTACAAAAGATGAAAAAGTTTTCTTGTAGTTTGAAATATGTTCGCTTAATTGCTTTTAAATCACGATTCAAGATTCTTTTAGAAGCGTGCAAAGAAGTTACTTCTACTTTAAAAATGTTTTAATTGTCGACATTAACCAGACATTGTTTGATAAGAACACTTATCTTCCTTGTAAAAGTAACGTTTTGAATTCATGTTTATGGGTTTAAAGGGTCTTTAAGATTTTTCTCTTTTTCATGAATCATGAATTAGAGACTCAACTTTTTTCAAATCTAAGCTTTCAATCTAATTCCATATTTCAGAGACAAACATCATTCCTCGTCCAAAACTAATAAAATATATCTAGGATGTTTGAGATATAATAGTATTAGTCGAAATGGTCAGTCTAGCGGGGTCAGCCTAGTCACCTGACCGTGTCTTAAAGCAATTTGCGTCATCTGTTTTTTCTTCAGGGGCAAATATGGACCTTAAAACTTCAGTTTAAAAAAAAGTGGCCTACCACAGGAGAAAACATTAGAATATGTATGCGATATTCTGTGTTTCACGGCAATATGTTAGTTAATTCCATTAATTCCTACTTTGTTCAGACAATAAAACAGAGTATACACTAATCACCATGCGTTATTATTTAAAAATAGGAATTTTTTTTTAAATGTAAAAATAGTTTAGTTTAAGCTAGAATAAAATAGTTTACGAATTAGAGATCGATAAAAGATCTGAACATGATCGTTTTAAAATAAATATGATACAAAGGTTTATTATCTTATTATATCATTATTTTCCCCCCCCCACATAAAAAGATGCCTTTGAAGAAAGCCTATGTTTTAGGCTGTACGTATTCTTCGTTTTAGAATTTTCATGTTACTAAGCGGTCAAATTCCTATTGTAGTTTTTAGAATAGATCCATACAGTGAACACTGAACACTGAACAGGTAAACCAAGAGATAACCAATACTTAGAGCTATCAACTGAAAATCCGTTTAAAATAAATGCAATTTTAATTTTTTGTCAGTTATTTATGAGTGCGAAAAATAATATGTATAATATTTAAGTATATTCTTTAACGATAATACCAAAAGCAAGCTATTGCATTCTATAAGAATGGAATTTAGACTTAGTCACAAACTAAAATTTTCCAATCTCAAAATATTTGTAGCCTGGTAGTGTACATTTTTGATTTTTCAAATCAGATTATTCGCTCTAACAGAATTCATGTTTGAAATATCTAAGGTCTACGACAATTTCTTGCAAAGATATAGGAATTAGAAAATCAGAGTTTGTGGCAAAGACCTAATTTCTTTCAGGTAATTGCAATTTGTTCTCTTGGTTCTTGGAATCTACATATATGGTGATATTTAATTGTTTTTGGTTCTGTGTTTTTATTTTTATTATCTAGTTGTTGATCTTAAATAATCTTGTTTTACATGTTTTTATTGTTTTTTATTAAATTGTTTATTCACCAAGTTATCGTTTCTACTGGTTCATTTCAAACTATTTACTCGCCAATTTATCGTTTCTACTGGTTCATTTCAAACTATTTACTCGCCAATTTATCGTTTCTACTGGTTCATTTCAAACTATTTACTCGCCAAGTTATCGTTTCTACTGGTTCATTCCTTTGCTTTACTGGAAAGAATGCCACAATATTCACGATATTTCAAGCAAATTGAAGCATTTTTTCTCGTATTTTGCAATGAATAAATTGTTTCCCAAATGTTCAATTATAAAGAAAAATGAAAGGCCATTTTGTATTTAAGACTCCAGATATCGCCACCACACCTACCTATTNATTCCCTGTACTTTCCCCCTCATTCGCTCGTCACCCTTCCTCTCTCCCCACCCTTATCTACTTCCTCAATTTCTTTTCCCCCCTTTCCACACTTACATCCTCCTTTAATACTAATAATACCAATAATAGCATATGTATTTAATATAGCCTGCGTGCTCCAGAAGCCTGTAAATGTAGATATAGAGATAAAATGTTAGAATGATAAAATACTAACAATCCAAGTAACAATTCAATTTATCGGGAGCATGTGAATGTTAAAAAATAAGTTTTTGAATGTGTTTTTCCCCCAACTATTTCAACATGTCTGTTAACGAATTGGGCAAAATCTGTTGACTTTAAAGTTTTGGGAATTGTTTTTGTTTTCAAACAGTCCTTACGTTGTCCCTGAGGAACTTTCTACTTTCTTTATCCCTTTCAAGAAATTTTGAGTGAAATGACATTTGAAGGTTAGTTGCGAGGTTTATGACAACATAATTACTGGAAGCTAATTCCCAACAATACAAGAGCTAGGACGGATCCCCTGCAATAACTAATAATTATCTTATAAAGAAGTCAATATCCTGTTCACAGTCAAATTATATCAGCTTATTTTGTGTATTTCTTTTAATATGAAGGGATTTTTAAAAGTTGATCATTATCAAAAAACCCTGTATTGTAAAGATACCCAGACTGTCAATGTTCACAATGATCTCTGTATTCTTTGCTTTGGAATATTTAGTTTTTGAGATTATGCATGTCCAGCTCGTTCAAATTCAAATCCTTCCTTAATCGTTAACTTTGAATTTGTGGATCAAATTTTAACCTGCGGTAGGTAGTTCAATGATGTACCTCAAATTCATTAAATTTGGTCCCAGGTTCTTGGTTAGGCTGATTCAGTTCTAACTTTTGTTTTAAAAATCATACTTTACTTACCAAGTTTCATGGTTCTACTGCTTACCAAGTTTCATGGTTCTACTGCTTAAAATAACTACTTTACTTACCAGCTTCTTGGTTTTACTGGTTAATATAAAATGTTTTACTCACATAGGTTTTCTAATGCTAACGGTTGATAAAAATACTTTACTCAAGGCAAGGGTGTAATGCATGGAAAGTTAATTGCGGTCGTGTATACTCTGCGTTCATATTGAAACCAGTTATCTTTGGGCGGAATTTGTAAACAAGAATAGATGCATCAGTGTTCGTATAGTATCCGGGGAGGTTAAAAGCATTAAATTTTAATAATTTTGATAATTCACATAATAGTTTCCTATGACCAGAATATTTCATTGATTATTTATGTGAAAGATGGATCTCATGCCAGGCTTTGACATCCGTCTTGTGTTTACATTACCGCCCAGAGACAGTACACTGCAGTACAAAATATGTGTACACCTCTGAAATAACTTTCCTGGCATTACATCCTTGACTCATTGTGTTCTTGGTTCTACTAGTTAATATCAATTAGTTCACTCAATAATTTCTTTGGTTCTAAGGATTAATATAAATACTTTTATTACCAGTTTCTATGGTTCTACTGGTAAGTGGTCTGGAGCTCTACTCTCCTCCTGAAAGTGTTGAAAGAATTTACCAACAGTTTCCACGGCTCAGACAGACAGCTGAAAAATTGGCTAATAAACCCCCTAAATGGTAAGTTGTCGATCTAGAATTTTTTATAAATATTAGAATCAAGCATCACGATAATCCAATACAATCCAGTATGAACATGAGAAACACATTCATTTTAAGCGGGACAACTGATACGCCTTGCGACCTTGTAACTCACCTTGTTTGATGTCTTCCGTTAAAGAGTAAACATTTGTTCAAAACAAAGTTTTGCTGATTACGTTCCTATACACTGTTATGTATTATAGTTTTTTGTTTTCTCAAGTAAATTCTAATTTATTTATCAAGTGTCGAACCCACTGGAGTTATGTACGTTAGACAAAAGCAGTGGGGAGTTACATACCCAGAAGATAAACTAGACAATGGAGACAAGGTAATCTAGACAGTGGAGGCAAGGTAAACTAGACAATGGAGACAAGGTAATCTAGACAATGCAGACAAGGTAATCTAGACAATAAAGACAAGGTAATCTAGACAATGGAGACAAGGTAAACTAAACAATGGAGACAAAGTAACTAGACAATGGAGACAAGGTAACTAGACAATGGAGACAAGGTAAACTAGACAATGGAGACAAGGTAAACTTTACAATGGAGACAAGGTAAACTAGACAATGGAGACAAGGTATTCTAAGCAATGAAGACAAGGTAATCTAGGCAATGCAGACAAGGTTAACTAGACAATGTAGACAATGTAATCCAGGCAATGGAGACAAGGTAATCTAGACAATGGAGGCAAGGTAAACTAGACAATGTAGACAAGGTAATCTAGGCAATGGAGACAAGGTAATCTAGACAATGGAGACAAGGTAAGCTAGACAATGGAGACAAGGTAATCTAGACAGTGGAGGCAAGGTAAACTAGACAATGGAGACAAGGTAATCTAGACAATGAAAACAAGGTAAGCTAGACAATGTAGACAAGGGAATCTAGACAATGAAAACAAGGTAAACTGGACAATGGAGACAAGGTAATCTAGAAAATGAAACTAGGTAATCTAGACAATGAAGACAAGGTAAGCTAGACAATGAATACAAGGTTAACTAGACAATGTAGACAAGGTAATCTAGGCAGTGGAGACAAGGTAAACTAGACATTGGAGACAAGGTAATCTAGACAATGGAGACAAGGTTAACTAGACAATGTAGACAAGTTAATCAAGACAATGGAGACAAGGTAATCTAGACAATGGAGACAAGGTCATCTAGACAATGAAGACAAGGTAATCTAGACAATGGACACAAGGTAATTTATGCAATGGAGACAAGGTAATCTAGACAATGGAGACAAAGTAAACTAGACAATGGAGACAAGGTAACTAGACAATGGAGACAAGGTAAACTTGACAATGGAGACAAGGTAAACTAGACAATGGAGACAAGGTAATCTATACAATAAAGACAAGGTAATCTAGACATTGGAGACAAGGTAAGCTAGGCAATGGAAACAAGGTAATCTAGGCAATGGAGACAAGTTAATCTAGGCAATTGAAACAAGGTCATCTAGACAATGAAGACAAGGTAATCTAGACAATGCAGACAAGGTAAACTAGACCATGGAGACAAGGTAATCTAGACAATGGAGACAAGGTTAACTAGACAATGTAGACAAGGTAATCTAGGCAATGGAGACAAGGTAATCTAGTTAATGGAGGCAAGTTAATCTAGACAATAGAGACAAGGTAATCTAGAGAATGGAGACGAGGTAAACTAGACAATGGAGACAAGGTAATCTAGACAATGGGGACAAGGTTAACTAGACAATGTAGACAAGGTAATATAGGCAATGGAGACATGGTAATCTAGACAATGGAGACAAGGTAATATAGGCAATGGAGACAAGGTAGGTAATCTAGGCAATGGAGACAAGGTAATCTAGGCAATGGAGACAAGGTAATCTAGACAATTACAAGTTAAAGTTAAAAAATTACGGACAAGGATGACTTGATAGGGTGGCTAAAGCATTTTAACGAGAATCATGATCAATTTCAGGTTATTTGTTGTGGAACTGAGGATGTCCTGACCTGTCATGTTATCATAATAAGGTATGATTATTAAGACGGAAATCGTATGTTTTATATTCAACCAATGAAACGGAAATTTTTTTCATTGATTTAAAACATCTTTTACCCACATGTTTGGAAACTTAAAAAAAAATACCATAAATATCATAGAAAGGCGAATATCAGAAAATATTAGCAAAGGTAACCTAATTAACGTTGTGTGCATTAGCGAATTTTGAGATGGAAATGGTCCAGGAAGCCTAGTTTTGGGCCTTGAATTGCATGTATAACATCGTTTATTTTAAACATTCAAAAATATGTAAAAAATAAATGTATATCTCTACCCGATGAAAAAAGGTTCTTTTTACATAATGAATAATACCCTAATATTCGAAAGTATATTTTCATAAGTAATTGTCAAGAATGCTTGAATTGTTATCACACATTATTGACACAAAACACCCTTTTTTATAGGGACCCTTATACCGGAGTATCATCAATAGCTCATTTTGACGAGTTCTCAAAGCAAAGTTCCTTTGAAAAAATGGTTGAATCTTTTCTGGAGAAAATACGAGAAAGACAGGAGGGAGATTGGGAATACTGGGAGGAGGTATTTGAAAAATATTAATATTGTCTTTGAATATAAAAACACAAATAAAATTGCACGATTCACCTAAAATTTTCCCGTTCCGTGGCTAAATCTTGGTTATTTTCGGATTAGGGGGCTGAAGGCGATTGGGAGTATTGGGAGTCTGATGATGAGAACTATGAGGAAGAATCAGTGGATCCAGTGAAAAAAGAGTCAGGTAAACAATTTGGAAATTATAAAACATTAACATACTTTATTATTTTTTTATCGTGAACCATTTTTAAAATTGTTTATTATAGATGCAGTTTATGAGCTTTATATTGTGGGAGGTTATAATGATGATGCAGGGAAAGCAAAAAAGATTTCTCGCCGATTTTTTAAGCATTTACATGATCTTAAAGTAAGGTAATTTGCAGTTTACATATTTTTTCATTTAAAAATGAAAAATTACTAATTCATATTTTATCTAACATTTTACTTACAATATTCTCTTTAGGCTAAACCTTGTTGTTTGTTGTCTCTGGGAGCCAAACACTAGGTTAGTCAACTAGAAAAATCAAAAAAAATACAGGGTATCCCAAACACTAGGTTAGTCAACTAGAAATATCAACAAAAATACAGGGTATCCCAAACACTAGGTTAGTCAACTAGAAATATCAACAAAAATACAGGGTATCCCAAAAAACGCTCTTTAAGGTACTATGGCTGTCATCATTGTTTAAGCTTTACTTTTTTGCACTTTTGGAAACCTGCGTAACACTACCGTTTTCTGAACCTACAATAACTGCAGATATCAGATATACAAAAAGGACTGATACAAAAATTCACTTGTCCTTTTTAAGTTGCGTTAATCATGTTTTATTAAATGTGTTCCCATTGTTTACGACGCATTTCTTAGCTCTAGCTTGTATATCCAGAAAACCATTTCCACAATTGACTGCTGCAATTCCTTCTTTCTCATGCAACTATTAATTAATTTAATTCCTTTGATTTTACGGAATCTTCATTTTATGAGATCCTTATGGAATCACATGACAAATGGACGGAAAAGAAATTTAACAAAATTACTAACGCAACCAAGCCAAAGTGGCGAACTTCAAACTGTAATTAAATTTCCTCAATTTTAGTGGTACAGACTACAGATATCTATTTAATGTCTATTGATCAAAAATGTTACGTACATTTCTATAATGTTTAAAAGAATGTATTAAAAGCTTGTGACACCCTGTACAAAAAATACATATCCCTGAATATTTTTGTAAAATATTAAGGACTTCGCTTTTTAGAAGATATAAGGACGGCCCTGCTCAACCCAAAATATCTGGTTTATGTTTGGATGTTAACACTGGTATTATAGAATCCGCTGTATTCAACAGGTGGGATCAGTTTGATTTTGTTTTACAAAACTCTTCTTTATTTCTTCTTTCTGAGCTGAAAACTTTAGAATGGTGGATATCGAGATTAATGCAATTGATCCTCTCTTTTTCCTATTATCGAGACTAACCTAATCTTGTACTTCTTGTACTTGTATTCTGAAAAGTGTATAATATTCAACCACTTCAGAGTTGCGAATATGAAGCCGATAAATTGAAAATTTTGTGCGCCATTTAAGATTATATACGGAAACGGGGGGGACTCTAATTTTTAAAAACGGTTTTGATTTTTCTCTACTATATCCAAGAAAGAAGAAAATCAAAAGTGTGTCCATTGGATACTCAGATTAAGTAATGGAGATTAAGGATATCTCGATCTAAAGTTTTCAGCTTTGCTTCTAAATCAAATTATCAATTTATTAAGTCGTGTTTTTTTAAACATTTGTTAACATAAAGAAGAATATTGAAAACTTTACAAAGGAAATGACTTTTTGCTACAAACTTATATTTTCTAATCTATAATTTTGCAACCTGGTGGTGTAAGTCTTTGATGATTAAAACTAAGACTATTTGATCTAACAGAAATAATAGTATGAAATATCAAAGGTCTAAGACATTGGATTGCAAATATATAGTGATTAGAAAATCTGAGTTTGTGGCAAAGACTCAGTTCCGTTAACAATAATAAAGATAAATATCATTAAAGAACGTTCACCGATTTCTCGGATGGAATCAGGGATCTTCTTCTGTGTTTTCCTCCTCTTATCAAGAATAAATCGACTCTGAAACAAATGATCGCTAGACAAGAAGATCGTGGATACGGAAAAGCACAGGTGAAAGAAATTGATGGAGGCCAGCTTATTAGTAGAGGCAGCCATTTTTTTGGAAACTCACTTTAACTAACAGACTATCCTCCTCGTCCCGCTAAAATATTTTTATAAAAGGATATTTAAGAAAAGTATAATAATTAGCTCTTATTCTATTGCAGGTATTGTGCGTGTAAAAGCAGAAACTTTAACTTGGTTTCTAGTTCGTTTTTAAAATTCAAATTGTTGAAAAAGAAATTAATAAAATTTGAAAATGTGTGTTTTTTTTAATTTGTTCTGATGCGTGGATATTGTTAATCTTGAAAGCTTGATCTCCATGACCCACTGTGGCATTTTTCAATTTAACCCCTCAATTGTATTTGTCCCTGTAGGGTATAACCATCACGGGTATCAAATAGAAATATAATTAGTCTGCATAACATGGTGATCAATGCTTGATCCATAGACTCATAGCAAGAATCCTGGGGGTAATTACCCCCCCCCTACCTTGAATCTTGGAGGATTGGAGGATTACCCCTGAACTATTCAGGTCCTGAATAGCATGGATTACTCCACTTACTTCCCCTACAAGTTACATTTGCCCCCTCCAAAAAAATCATTCCCTATTGATTAGTCTGCTTTTAACTTTTAAATAATGTCCTTTCCATATTAGAGTTATTTAAGATCTTAACATACTAAGTGATGACAAGAAAATTTTAGAGATTATAAATTAGAGTATAAACAAAGACAATATTTTTTTCAAAGTTTTGCAGAGTAGCTTTTGTAAAGAGTAAAACTATTTTTTATGTAACTTAAAATAAATTAAGTTTTTTTACAGATCTTTGTAGTTAATGTAAAATTAACGACTTTAAAAGATGAAAGCTGAAAGGTACGAAATGAAGCCTTTATTTGATGGAGTTTGTAAATGCCAGAAATGAGTGGAAAATTAAAATCAAACTCAACTAAAACCAATAATTTGATATACATTATAATATAAAAAAAATTCTAAGGGGGGGGGGTAAAAAAATTGACCCCCTATACAGAATCCTTATTTACGCCCCTGATAACAATGTTGAAGCAAAATCATGAAATCAAGTTTTGACGAAAGCTAAGTCAGGTCAGACATGTGGTCCACACTTTTACTGGATCATGTAACTGCAGGTTTAAGTATATATTTATTTCCTCTCAGAAAAATGTAATAATAAAAAAAACTTTGATTAAATCTTTTTTAGGTGAACAAATTTCCCAGTTTTCATTGAAGACACTGTTCTTCATTGGAGACCCCAAACTCTTCATTGGAGGCCTAAGATTTTTAATGGAGTCCCCAAGGTTTTCATTGGAGTCCCCAAGATTTTCATTGGGGACCCAAGATATTAATCGGAGACCACAAACTCTTCATTGGAGGCCTAAGATTTTCATTGGAGTCCCCAAAATTTTCATTGGAGACCCCAAGCGATTCATCGGAGACCATCAGATTTTTATTCGAGACAACTGACTTGTCATTGGTTTTTGATAAAAAGCTTGTCCATTGAACATCTGGGGTCTCAATGAAAATATGGGGCCTCCGATGAAAATCTTGGGGTCTCCAATTAAAATCTGGGGGTCTGAGATGAGATGGCTGTTGGGGTCTCCAATGGGTACTCAATTGATGCTGATTTCTTTCCAGACTTGGTAAAATGAATATTTTGGTAAAATTTGTCATTAACTATGCCCCATAAGATATCAACGCATAATTGTGTTTTTATGATTATTGATTACCTATGAAAGAATTTGCAAGAAGGTGCAATGTGACCCCTAGTTAAGGCCCTGGTTAAGATGATCGCAAATAGGAAAAGATGTTTTTAAAAAATCCACACACAAAAATTTAAAACATGAAGAAAACAGTGCTCTTTACTCAATAGTTTATACAAGGTTAATGTACGTAATTACAGTTTCATAATACTTGCAATTTCTGCCAAATACATTATATAGTATATGTATAGTTGGATTTTGACTCAAAGGTGTCATACCATGTTCCGTATATTACAACAAAAAATAGTTTACTGAAATAATACAGAGGCTGACATATATTTCAACCAGGGAGCAAGGAATAGAAGGGAGAGACAACTGACGCGGTTCGCCCTACCATATGATTATACATGCTTTGCAGACGGTACTCCATTTTATATCGAGCTGTTTGGTTTCTTTAGTAGGGCCCCACAGGAAAAATATGTATTGGCGAAACTGGTCAAAGAAAATTGAGCCAATACATATTTTACTGAAATCATATTATATTACCATTACAGTTTGTCACTGTATTGCTACATATGCTGACCGCTGTATTGTGAACCAGGGTGACCAGTACCCACCTTTTTTTACTCTGGCACGGTGTATAGATCGCACAAATGCACTTCCGGTTTTAGGGATAAATCCATCCCTGTTGGACGTCAAGTTTGAAACTTCTCCATGGATTACATGGGAAGGAAGGGAAGAGTTATCTACCGCGTGTTGAATAACAAGCATCCTTCTTATTCTTCATGAATTCAAGCTTCCTGATATCAGTCATTTAATTCTGCTGATGATGTGTTAATTAATTCAATCTTTAAAATCCTCAGAGATTGTCCATTTTGGAGGGATGATTTTGAGAATCTGTTTTATATAAATTATTCAATGACTACCACGAAAAATGTAACAAAAAATTCTAAAGTAAACTAATTTGTTGTTTAGAAACAGGTTGAGAAAATAAAAATTAACTCTTATCATCGAAAGTATGTAATCTTATTCAGTTATTGGTTTCTGTAATGTAATGTTAAACACCATTTTCTGTTGATTTCCTGGCATTTTTAATGAAAAGACGACATTTGAAGAGTTTGAAGAAATCTGCGAACAAATTCATAAAAAAATAGGAAAAAGAATATAATGATTTAAAAAGAAACAACAGATTCTAACATTGATTTATTGACAAATTTCTAATGAGAGGTATGTTCCTTAACATCTAATTATTTTCCTGTACAGAAATTGTGTTACACTTTTCTTCGTCGTTTTTGAATAATTTTTAAAAAGCCGGTTCTCAAAATCATTCCTCCAAAGGACCAAAATGGACAATCAGTGTGGATTTTAAATTTTGAATTTTCGCTCTTGCTGAACAAATATGCACCGTAAAAAGTCTGATAGGTCTCAAATGAATCCTAAAAAGTTTCTCAATAATACTGCAATCTTAGTTCAATTCATTTAATCATTATTTCACTTTGCCTTTCTGTCTTGATACAGTCATCATGCTCCCGCCTGAACTATGAAGTATAATTGTCAAATAGTCTAATTTTGAAATATCAAAGGTTTACACCATCAGGTTGAAAAAATATTGGGATCAGAAAATTTAAGTTTGTGTGAAAAACTCAATTCCTTTAGTTATTAAATGTTAACTATAGTTGCAGTTGATTAATATATCTATGTAATACTACTTTTGTTAGTGCGGTTTAGTTTTTATAGATTTTCAGAGGAAAAATTGCTTGAGCCGTGGGAGGATTGGGAGAGACACCTGTACGGAGGGCAGAGTAGCGGGTAACCCGAGGTTAAAGGAGGCTGGCAACAGAACAGCTGATTCATATCATTACACTCATTTATACATCTTCCTTATAGAAAGAACAGCAGTGACGATATAGGTTGTCTTCATTGTTATTTATTACCTAATTTCGAAAATTAAAAACTTTATAAGTTCGTTTAACAGTCTCCCATACTGAGTTTATTTTGGATAATGTAAGATAGTTAAAAGTACAAATCTAAATCACAAGACAGAGAGATTGCATGCGCGTAACTCCCTTGGTCTTCTGCCTCATGGTTATTGTGAACGAAAAACCCCTAAATCTTGAAAATAAGACATAAACTGTTTAATCTGTAATGTTTTTAATCTGTGAGTTTTTCCTTTACAAAGTCACATTGCTTTGTGAAAACATTAGGACAGTTGCCAAAAAGCTCTATATTGTTTTTTCTTAAACATTTTTCCAATGAAGATTTTTTTCAGATTAAAAAGAATCTTTCATGCAAAAGAATTCATCTTAACTTCTAAACTTCATCAAAAATTCAATGCCGTTGGTAACATCTGAGGTGAACTATTTATTTACATTTGGAGCCATAAAACTGCAGAGATTATTATATGTTTATTGATTTTGTTACAAAGGAAATAGTTTTACAAGTAAAGCTTAAGTGAAATAGGGGTTTGTACACTGCAAAATTGTTGTGTTTCATGAAGAACTATTTTGATCATAATTCAGTCGTCTTTCTTTGACCTTTCCTTCATTTTTATTGGTTCCACAGTAACAGTATATTTGATCAACACTGAGCATCGTTCTTTGTATGAACAAGGGCCAATGACATCCTTGGAGGACAATAGTTTGGCCACTATACATGTCTCACGTAAGAAAAAGATTCTTTTATCCCGATCGGAAAGGTCATCTTCTCGACCATTGTAGTGTTAGCAAGGAACGTACTCTGTAGTAGTTATAATCGTCTTGAATTGTTTCTAGAATGAACCAGTCTAAATCTTCAAGCATAACAATACTACACAAATGACCGTTATTAGGTAAGTTATTTAATTAGAATTACATATTCTTAACATTTAATAAGCTCTTGAAGTATAGTGATTTACATTTTTTTGTTGATTAAGCTTACTCTTCTAGAGTTATCCAATAGCAGACGTGGATAGTTTTTAGAACTCGGTTTTCAAAGTTCCTTGGCCCTCGCAGTGACATATGGTTGGTCAGTTTAAAAAAAAATACTTTTGACAGGAAAGAAAGAACCCCTTTTAAGATAAATTCATTTTTTGGGTGTCATTAGTTCGTCATTATTTTATTCCAATTAAACTCTATAGAATCTCAACAGCGCAGTCAAAAATTAAAATATATGATGTTAAATTTCTGACCAAAGAATAGAATTTTTCTTCGTGTTTGTTTAGTTTACAAATCCACTTTCTTTTCTTATTCTTACAAAATGACATAAGACAAGCATGGAGATTGAAAAGACAAAAAAATGAACGAACTTGAAAAACTATAAATTTTACCGTATTTTAGGAAAATTGTTCGTTCCCTGAATAAACGTGGACCATTTCAGCACTATTTATCAACAAGACTCTACTACAGGTAAGAAATACATACTCTGTAACAAACATACCTCATGGATACATTTACGATACATTCAAAATAATTACATAATACATAGATTACCAAACGTTTTGGTGATAGTACACAAGCAATAATTTTGAGAGTTAAAAAATTACTGTAGCTAAGGAGTTTTGTATTTTCTAATGTTCTGAGAATGATACGCAAAATGAACTACGCAAGAATACTGTAAACAGACGAATATGTTTACATAGGCAGTTTGTGGTCTTTCACTATTCTCACTGTTATAATTTATGTAAAAAAATAATTACGCATGAATATTTAACAATATATTTTCTTGATCAAAGACACGTTCACTAACATAATTTAAGTAAATATATGTCTTAGCTTCGAAAACGAGTTCAAATCATGGTTGCCATTGAAGAAGCGGAAGAAGATCCATCCACCAAATGGATACAGGTTCCATTGAGTCCTGGAGACTCCAATCTTGGTCTAGTAGAAATGAACCCGCGTGTAGTGGACTTAGCTAATACATCTGGTCAAAACATTAATTCTGGAGATTTAACAAAAGTAGAGGAGATTCTCAAAACATCTCGACCAGGAATGAATATTATTTGACGTATTCAGTTTCAAAATGTTAGATGCATAAAGATATAAAGGTGATTCAGATTTCCAGGTTTTATATAGGCCTTTCATTTTTTAAACAAATATTTACCCGTTAAATATAAAAATGTTCTTAATTTTTCGTTGTTCTGTACGTTTTGTCATGGTTCAAAAAAAAATATTAAATAATTCTTAAATTCATGAAAAAAAAACTTTCCTAAAACAGTAATGGACTTACTGAGATTTACTTAGTTTCACGTGATATATTTGTCCTCTGTAGAATTGGTCAAGAATATTTTTTATTTCGTTAATATTTTGCATACTTTTATTTAATATTCATCCCCTGCAGTTCCTCTGTTTCAAGCTTTAAAAGGTGAGCTTGAGGACATTCTTGAAGATGGTACTAAAAACAATCAATCAGAAGTCCAAGAAACGCAGCTAGCTAAAATGTGCATGATAAAGGAAGAAAAGGGGTTGTTAAAGTACAGTGTATCAGGAGAAGAAAAGGGTCTCAAGTCGATATCTCCAACCCCTCATAAGGTTCAATTTCTGGAAGACGAAGATTCCAGGTAAATTTTTATTTTATTTCTAACGCTTATTGAATACATGTGTCCCCTTAATTGGTTGCTTAGTTTAACAGACTAACTTTAAGTTTCTTACAATCTCTTGATTTTTACAGATATGTTTAATCATTTTTTTTAAAATACAAATAAAAAAAATACATTTTACGTTACAATGAAAGCATACATAAGAAAGATTAATTGTAGTATTTACACATTTTCTTGGTCGAAGCTTTATTCCCTAATGTCAGTTTCTCTTTGACTGTATTTTGCTTTCATTTTGGAGTTAACATTTCAGGGCCCGTTTCCTTTATTCAATGGTGGATGCCCATCCGTGAATCATACCACTTTAATCAAATTTTTAAAATTTTAGGTACAAATACCAATTACCAAATGCATGTAAAAAAATCATATTTAATCAATGTGCAAATTAAATGAACCATTTTTTTCACGAAGAAGAAAGTACAGCAGATCAGCGGAGAATATTGCAGATTCAAGAAAACTGGGGAAATGTTCTCCCTCAAAAGTAAGTTCTTTAAAACTTTAAGGCTTTACTTAAAAGCTTACTTTTTAGGTGTGGTAGTGTTAAAGAAGTCAAATCATCGATATTATGATTAAAGAAAAAAAAAGAAAAAAGAAAATTTAATGAGAAAAAGCATAAAGTTTGAATTTTTACAGTCCTTGTGCGGTAGTAGCCGAACACCTCCGACAGGAAGACGACGACGGAGAAGACAAGTTTCAGAGGCCTCATCTATGTCTGTAACAAGTGTAACCAGTGAGTCATCAGGTAGTTTTTTTAGTTAAGCAAGAAAAGGAGCAGTATTTTTCTTGAAAAAGAAATTGAGTCTTTGCCACCAGCTCAAATTTTCTAATTTCTATATCTTTTTAACCTGATGGTGTAATCATGTGATATTTTAAATTTAGATTATTTGATCTAACAGAATTCATAGTTTGAAATATCTAAGGTCTATACGATATTGGGTTTCATAGAGAGATAGAGATTAAAATAATGAGTTTTTGGCAAAAACTCAATTCCTTTGTGAAAAGGGAAATTTCCTAGAAATTGCAACATTGATTTCGTATTTAAGAATGTTTTTCATATTAAAGTTATCTCCTAACTGAAGTTATTCTGTTCTTAATAATTATGCATGTATAATTTTATAGATGTAAGGAAAGGTGGTACAAATACCACCTTCACTAATATTTGAATAATAATACATTATTTTATTCTGTTGTTGAGCAATAACTATTTCAGTTGGAAGTTACAGTTCTGCCTCCCCAGATGGAGGATATGGTTGGGTTGTTGTTGCAGCTTCTTTTCTGGTTAATATGATCGCTGACGGGGTCACATTTAGCTTTGGGGTCATGTTTGACGAGTTTCAGGGAGAATTTGACAGCACTAAGGTTAGTTATGATCTAGTTTGATGAAGAGGTTTAGTTTCATTAGGAAAAGTTCTCAAGTAACAAACGTGAAAAATTTTCATTTCCAAAATTAACTATTTACAAACTCAATTTCAAAATGGTAAAAGACATGTTTAAACCCCCCCCCCCCCCCCCC